AATAAATGGAAGAAAATATAGATAAGCGTACTCACGAGCGATTAAACGTACGTGTTACTCGGTCGGCTGTTGAAATATAACAATAGTTATGTCGTTAAAACATTTTATTTATTTTTTGTATACTAAAATATTTTATTTATTGGCATATTTTATTTTAGCGTATTACATATTTTAGGTGGTGCATCTTTTTGTAAGTTAGTATTGTTTAAATGACAAATGACATTAAAAATATTATACAATAGTATTTTGAGGCAGCTGTACGAAATTAAATAATTATTTACCATATTAATTATACCATAAAAATTAATATTATTTATTATTTATTTATATAAACTAATTAATTGAAATAAACTTTGAACCTATTCATCATTAAATTGCATAATATCAGATATATCACTTTATGGCTAAAAAAATTAAACACAAATTTAACTAAACAACAATTATAATTACTTTGGGTAGAATTATTGTGAGATATTCATTTACTTGTTAACGCATTTTTAGGATTTAACATTGGTATTATATGTTCAGTCGTGGTGAAACAGTTTGGTAGTTTTCATCTCTTCAACAAGAGCGCGACATGCCACAACTGGTTTATCTGTTGGGGTAGTGTGTGGCAGTGGTCGTGAAGGATTCATTCCGCGCTCTCTCATTTGGTCGTTTCGGTCATATCGATGCCAAGTATTTGGGTCGTGTATTACCTTGTCACCATAGTCATTAAATTGAGATGCTAATCGTTTTTGTTGAATGTGACGGTGTTATTTTCCCTTCCTGTATCCTGATTTCACATTATTCATCAGTTCCAAACGGCAGTTGGTAATTAATAATAATTTTTTTTATTGTTATTTTACGGATTTACAGTCCTTATAATATGTATTAGTTATAAACAGGTAATGTATGTTATTATTTTCGTTATTAATTTTAGCTAATTCTATTTATCATTTGGGTCTTGTTTGTTTGTTATTTTTTATCATAACAGAAAAAATATCATACTGTGATTATATATATATATATGTTGTTTTCTTTCTTTCTATTTAATATATTGCAAGGCTCAATTTCCACATTTTATATTCTCCTTTTCCTTCCGCTAAGGCATGGCCAAATACGTATAGTCAATCGTAGTTATTAAACGAACAAAACTGTTACAAGAAAAATTCGTAAATTGCCGATACTAAAGAAAAAATATAGTCGGCATTGCAAATTATATTATTATGAATTCAAAGGATACGATTATAATAAACAATCGCAACGTAATACTTTAAAATTAAAATTAAATATTATTAATTATTATTAATGATCATGTTGTGTGGAATACAATTAT